AAAAAGCTGGCCATTTTACCATCGATGAGGGCCAATAGTGCTATTACAGATTTCAAAGAAAATACTTTTATAATAAAAAAAGGAAACAAGCTTGACAACAAAACATCCTATCAATGTCGTAAAAAATGACCCTAAATAATGCAGCTTGTAGTTGTAGACAGCAAGCATCAAGTGTTCATTGAGATGTGTTTGAGACTGTGTTGCCTGACATATCTTTCGTCTTTTCTTTTTCTTTTCTTTTCGTCGAAAGCACGGCTTTCGAAGATGATGATATGAAACTGCTGGGTAGTTGCGCTGGTTTGCTAACACTTGTTTGGGTCTGTAATTTTATTAGCATCTTTATAAAGGTGTGCACGCTACTTTCATTCTTGCATGACAGTGCACTACGCCAAAATTGATCCCGCCATGGCTACATTACAGCCTTTCATTCAAAACATTCAATCGTGTTTTTTAATAGGTGATAATCGCACCAAAACGATTTAAAAGGTAAGTGAATTATAACAGCGCAAACTTTTTAGTAACCGTAGTAGAGCTGTGTGTTAATTGTTTAACCCTTTAAGGTTACGCGCCCACTCTGACTGACTGGCTGACTGACAAGTGCGTGATGTGTGAAGCCAACAAACACGACGTATAGCTGTTTCACTTTACTTCAGGACGCATTAATACGGCTCTGTAGGTCTATTGGAGACATTCACAAATATTCCTAGCAAATCTAATAAATGTTGGAGACATACTTGTTACATAAACATACTAAATCGCACTTCTGCAGTGTTTATCCGAGAGCGCACAAGAAGATCTGCGCTTGAGTATTTACATAAATGCACTCACGAAATTTGTCATTGAAATAACACCAGGTAGTTGGTAGATCTGTGTAAAAAAAAAAAGCCTGCCACCACAGCTGGAAAAAATCCTAGAGAAAACACTGGGTGTGATTGTTTTAAAAGATGAAACGGGTTTGTGGTGTTGTCTGCTTTTGATGGTACGAATCATCTGCAGTTTGCAATGCACGTTACTCTGTTTTATGTTGATTTACAAAAAACTAAGTAGCCTAGCTTCAGACTACTGAAGTTAAGTGACGTTTCTTGTCAACAATGTCGGTAACTGACATTTTTTTTCAATTTTTTTTTTCTTACTCCTCCAAGTGCAACCAACACTGTATGGCTGTAAACTTGTGTAGCGTGCTGCATCTGGAAAGGCAGGCTGCAAAATGCTTGCGCAGAATTATGCTCAGTGCGCAAATATTACCGAACACTTATCAAACTGTTTTTATTCGAAAAAATATATATTGTGATAATTAGCATTATCGAATTATAGCCCAGCCCTAGTTCCAACAGGGTTGGAACGAATCCACCTAGAACTGGATTTGACACCTGTGCTATAGTCTATAGTCAAGTCTATTAAAACGATGAACAAAAAACAGCCCATTATCTCTATATGACATTGTTTTTGATGCTAAAATCTTGTTGACAAAAGTATTAAGTAAGGTCATGACCCCTTGGAGACAACAGAACTGCAATGCACAATAACAATAAAGAGCAAGTTATAATGCATTAATATTAACGGTAATAAAGTTATCATATTAGGTATCTCTTAGACTTGCTCCATAGTTTTGGTTAAATAAAAAAGGTCAGAAGGAATGGAAGATGAAGCAGAGCATGCTGGGTAAATGACTCCAAGCGACAACACATCACAGGAGCAACAGCAAAGGATGGAGGGTTGGCCACTGGTGACACAAGTGTAAAAAGAGAAATGCAGACATGCGGCCGGATGACAGGGGATGCGAGATAGGAGGAGGAGAATGACGGAGGACGGGGCGGCAGCAGTGTGGAGACTAGGTGTGAGCTGACAGCACAACACTGCCAGCGGCTGCCAGGGAAAGGACAACCGAAGCACTGAAGAGGTGGTAGCTTAGCAAGACAGGCTTGGTGGTGGTGGTGGTTGGTTGGTTGGTAGGTGCTGGAGGGGGGATCTTCGTTGTGGGGGGTGAACAAGGCAGGAGATCCTATTCGCATCCTTTTCATCAACGTCTCTCTCCAGGCCCGACCCATGCAATATTTATACCTCCTTCACCCTGCTCCTCTTCAATCTGCTCCAGTATTTAAAGCCCTTGCTTTACAAGGGGATTTTGCTTCGTTGAAAAATCCGCCGTGACGATTAAAATCGGATCTGAAGATCTCGCCCTCCCACTCGCTCAGAGAGCAAATGCGCCATCAAATATGCACGCCTTACCAACTCATCCGGCATCTCCCATGCATATCCATCAAACCTTGGGGACTTTAAGATATGATATCGCCGTATGCGTGATCGCATACACAATTCTGCGTTTTTGGTTTCTTTTCTTTTTTCCAAGGGAATACGAGTCAAACTTGGATGCTTGTTGAGATTCTTGTACAAGTCATTCCCTTAAGCTGTCATGGTGTAATCCGTTGGCAGACTTACCTTGAGTGTTGCGTTCAAACTAATGTCAAATGTCTCACATGCTTTATTGATGAGCCTGTAGTGTTCGCAGCTGAGATATACTCCACAGATATAACATTTAGTAAAATCAGAGCAGTCAATGTTTCGAAGGTCGAGTGGTATTGTTTTTTTAATATGATAACGAAGGTTAAAAAAGGCCAAATTCTGATTTATCAGCCAACGTTGTATGTTAAATAATTGAGAGACTTAGGGTCCAGAATGCACATATCTCTATGTATTAAGCAAGCCAAGGTGGGCAGCTTTAATTTGTTAACTGCAACTGCTATTTCATACATTTTGAACTCAAGCAGTCTTGTTGAGCTTTCCAAAATTAAAATAAATAAATAAATAAATAAATAAATAAATAACTAAATAAATAAACAAACAAACAAACAAACAATGTTTGGTTTCTTTTTTACAGTTTAAAATGCATGATATGGAGGAGGGGGCTTTTAACAATGAGTGTGTAAAACAAGGACAGTTCTTTATAAATACTTTCTGATAAGAGAAACTCAAAGTACCTTTTTTCGCAATCATTTATACTACTAGGGAATGAACAAGCAAACTTGAGCAGTAATACAGTGCTCAGCATAAATGAGTACATCCTATTTTGAAAATGAATATTTTTATCCATTTCTCAGCATATATAGATAATATATTTCGGTGCATTTGAACAAAATAGCTTTATTAAATCAATATAAATATTAAAAAAATATTTTAGTCTTTAGAAATAGAAAGATAATGCATTAAAATTCAAGCAAAATATTTTAAAAAATACAACCTACAAAATTAATTATTTTTTTACTTGAATTTAGCTTTTTTATTTTTTATTTAGTATTTTCCCTAACATATAAATTTGGCTGCAATCATTCTGTACTGTTATCATACGTTGTTTTGTTAGATTAGCTCCATATACTTTGTACATTAAGCTTGCTAAAAAAAATATGAATTTATAAGAGATTTGTGAGGGGTGTACTCCTATTTGTTCATTTTTAAACCTCACTCCTCTGTTAATTTGTTAAACCTCACTCCTCTGACCTATAAAATGTGCTCTAGCGACAGATTCTAGAAGCCATTGTCTTTAGCCTCCTCATTAAAGCAACCGGTCGGCGGTTCGATCCCAACCCAGAGTGGGTGGTATATATATATATATATATATATATATATATATATATATGGATGCAACTATCAACCAATTGCACTATTAGCCTTGCCTTAATTCGTCATGGTTATTTAATCGCAAAGGCTTCAACACCGCGTTTCTGCACGGAACAAAACTGCTGCAACTAAACAGTTACGCCAACTGTGCGCTAGTTTAAAGTTTCGAGCTTGTACACCGAGGTGAATACACACGCACACTAGCTTAACTATGGCTGAGGTTAAAGGCTATTCACATTTTGCGTCTTTTGTGCGCACAAGTTCGTTATTTCTTTTCTTGCGTGAATATTGGGGGTGACATTCACTGTGAATCACGTGACAAGAAAAGACCCAATCAGTTTCATACTTTATATGGAATATACACATTTCTACTCCAAAGAGAAAAAAATATACAAAAATGGAAATACAAATCAAGTTCACAATTTACATTAGACAAACACTGTTCTTTATTTTTTCTTATTTTTATTTATTTTATTATTCATTTTTCTGTCATTTGTTTTCAGTGCTAAATTATTACTTATGTTTAAATGGCAAAAACGTTTTCCAAAAGTCCAAAGAAAAATAGACTAATGTTTGTTTTTATTATTATTTTGTGCTGTATTATTTGGTTACAGAGCAGCAAAAAAAAAAACACTTTAAAAAGGAACTTTTAAAGTGATTTACTAAACTAGTAGTCCTTTGATGTTAAATTAATAGACGCATAATAATCGTGATTATTCTGAAACCATGAATATGTATATTCAATGCACTATCAAATATATATATATATATAAATAAAGAAAAGTGAGGTTTTTAAAAGGTGAATCTTCAGCCATTAATCGGCAAAATAGTCAAACGTTCTTGCTTTAATTTGAACGTAGCTCAAGATGACTTACAATAATGGAGTCGGATGATTGGAGGGAATTAGTCTTGGGGGTGTGAAAAGGAAGTACGACAGAAGAGAGATTAAGAGAGAGAAGGAGGAAGAGAGAGAGCAAAAGACTGCTAAAAGCAGCAGATTTCCAACACCTCTGTCTCTGGCACTGGAAACACATGATGGCTCCTGTGTGCAGGAAACGTTGCTTGTGCAGAGAGCAGAATCTCATTATCACCTCTCACCCGGCACAGCGGAGAGACAGCCGGAGCAGACCGCCGCCTGTCTCTCTGCGGGTGGATTGACAGACACGGGGAGATTTGACGGGGGCAGATGTGGATGTGGAAGAGGGCGACAGGCTCGTGCTACATGCTGCTAAGCAAGCAGGTGGTGAGTCAGGATGGTAGACGGCGGGAAAAAGAAAAAAAAAAAGAAAAAAAAGTGGCTTTGTAGAACGGCTATATAACGAGATTACAAAGAAACTTCGGCTAGACTGCGTGTGTGTTTTTGTAACTGTGTGAGTTACACTAACCTGTGGCTGATACACTGGCACCGGCGGCTGCTGGCCTTGTGATTGGGCGTCCATTGTGACAGCAGCAGTCGCTTACACCCCTGCAAAACAAACAAACAAGCACAAAATAAGATGCGCTGACCATTCACGGCACAGCAACAGGAGCAAACCCTCCCTCTGTGTAATAATCTAAAGTGATGGTGGACGTGTGAATCTGCTAATAGAATTAGGGTCTGGAGCAGCACTCCTGACAATCACATGCTTCTGCGGAAACGTCCGGCCAGCTCCAGAAACCTGATCCGCAGAGAACACGACACCCATTGTGTTAATGAGACCTGTCAAAGAGCCAGGGCACTGGAGACCCTTCAAGCGGAATAGTAAAACTCAATTATTAAAACTTGCGAGCCATTCGCAGAGAACATGAGCAAATTATCGCAAATAGACTCTAAAGTATTATCTTAATGCATGTAACCAAATGCAGTGTTGTCAGATACAAAAGACCCACGATTACAGCTTATGGCGAGACAATATGTACAAGGTACAAGACCAGTTCAACCACTGAAATGCTATGTTATAGTTAGATATATGATCTCTAAATCAGACAATTGGAAATATACCAATGAATACCAGACCATGGCCATTGAGAGATTATCAAACTCTACAATTATTTAATTTCCAAATTGTATGACAATGATGATTTGAACTGCTCAATCAAACTGCAGCTAAACTCTTTTTTTCTATTTGGTCTCTATTTTGGTTTTGTACCAAATAGAGAAAAAAAATTGACAAAATAGAGACAAAATAAAACCAAATATCAAAAGCAGAGTTTTGATCTGTTTATGTTGTCCAGGACATCGTGTTTCAGGTGATGAAGTGAATTAAATCATAGTAAAGTTCTTAAGCAACAAACTGGCTCCTGAAATTTCAATCAAACAGATTTATATAGTGTTATTAGAAAATCTGTTTGAAAGGATAGTTCACACAAAAAAATGAGAATTTATTCAAACCCTGTGCATGGTCGAAAATGTAGTTTTGAGACTTTTATGAGCTTCTTTCTTCAGTTTAATGCAAAAAAATATTTTGAAGAAAGCTGATAACCTGTAATTATTGATTCTGATAGTAGGGAAAAATTACTATGGAAGTCAACGATTAAAGTGTTCATCTTTTTTGATTAACAGAAGAAAAAATGAATACAGGTTTTAAACAAGTAAAAGTTGAGTAAATAAATGAGGGTTGCATGGTTTAATGGTACTAGTACCGCAATAATATGGCTCCCAAATACTGGCGGTGTAGTTTGTAAACAGTAGTATCGTCATTAATAGTTCATCTACAATAGATAATGGTGTATGCGGAAAAGTCACCAAAATGCTCACACGTTTGTGCAACAATAGACCATTTTATTTGAATAGTCTCTGGAGCTCTTTAAGGTTGCAAAACTATGTAGAATTTGTGCCTATTATAGTATGTTTTATAGTAGCCTATTGCATGTTTTCCAACGCTTCTGTTCGAACGCACATATCAATTGGTTCGTTTCTGTTCCTGTTAATATGATTTATTGATGACCGCGACAATCTCTTTAAAAGAACAACTCAGAAAGTGAAATTTTAATTACTTTGGATTGTTACCTGATAAGACTAGAAAAAATAAATAGATGAAAAATCCAAAATAGCAACAAGAAACATAGAAAAATTGTTGACCACTTCATATGGCCTAATTTTGTTGGAAAAATACACTTTTGTAACAAGTTCCTTCTGGTATAATTTGTATCTTTATTTGAATGTTGTTTGGTTGGTCAGTTATCTACAAAATAAACAAAAAGAATAAATTCGTTTAAGGTAAGGATGGGTGTGAATAATATTTTTTTGCCCTTCAGGCCTAATTTAATGTTTTTCAGAATTTATTGTGGAGTGTGTTTTTGTTTTGGTACACTAGCTGGTTTGGCCTTTCATGTATGAATAAACATAACACTAAAACCACAAGAAGTCAGTGGCAAGTCTCAATCTTACTGAGTGATTTATTGACACATTTATTCAAACGATTCATTCAAAATGACGGATTCATTTAGAAACTCAAAAAGTGACCATCTTAATGAAGATATCATAGAATCATTGACTACGTTTACATAGACATCAGTAATCAAATTATATGGCTTAATCTAATTAAGACAGTAATATGATTAAGGTGTTGAGTTGTTTGTTGAATGTTCCTTTCATGATCCCGTATTACATGTTATAGCACAGAGATTGATTAATTCATTGCGTCACCACGCTATCCACATTTCCTCTGGAGTGTCATGTAATTTTGGGTTTTCAGTTTTTTATTTGTCGACTTTTACTGCAGTTTGGCACTTTCACTTTCACTCGGGAACATTTCATGCATGCCCTCTGTGACAAACGAGATATTGGATGAGAGTATTATTTGCTGGAAGAGATGCTGAATGTAAAAAAAAAAACTCCACATTTCACGATGCAAGTGTCTGTGGTCTGCACTCACTCTGTAGGTGCAGAGTGTCAAACAGCTCTGTGTGTGTGTGTGTGTGTGTGTGTGTGTGTGTGTGTGTGTGTGTGTGTGTGTGTGTGTGTGTGTGTGTGTGTGTGTGTGTGGATTATCCAGTCCCAAAACATCCTACATGACGGTAATAGTTTGATTAAGGTGTTTACATGTTTACACACTACGTCTTAATTCGATTTCTCATTAGTTCGATTAGGACCTTAATTGGATTAAATTCATTTTTTTAAAAAATAAAATAAATAAATTTTAAAAATAAATAAATAAATAAAATAAAAAAATCACTTGTGTTACATTATTGCTTGTGTTACATTACAAATTTATATAATATCATACATCATATATCATATCATATCTAATTAACAAAACAATAATAGTCCATACAGGTATAGTTGTTGCTTCTATAATTTGAACCATAGACTCCTTCTCATTGTATTCTAAGAGGTTTATGTACAAACTGTAATTAAAACAACAGATATTATAGTCCATGAAAAACAAATCGCAGTCCCCAACTTTTAACATCAAGTTAACTCAAGTTTTTAGTGTTCATATAGAGAGGTTTTCTTTAAAAGGATCAACATACGCCTCTTTTAGTGACCCAAAGTAAACCAGTGTTCATTGGAAGAAAACTACACAGTGGAATAAAATGTAATACAAATTAAGAACTCTTTTTGAGATGAATTGTGCGACTCTTATTTATCAGTATAGCCGAACAATACGTCTCTGCATACTTGACTAAATCAGCCAATACACATTAATCAATCAAATATCACCAACAATATCATAAAATTAGTAAAATATTAGTTTTTTTTCTTATTCCATGATCTGCCATCCTAAAAATATGTGCTTTCAGCCATTAAAAACATCTGACCATGAATGTGAAACCAAAGATTCCTTCATTGTATCTAAACACATTCAATAATCACCATCCATAACCCCCCAGTGTCTGTAGGTTTAGTCTGATGCTCCTCAAAAGCCTAAAGAGGCATTAATGTGGGCACAATAAAGTGTATGTGCGAGTAAGAAACAGTGAAGATGTGTTGTCTTTGCAGAGCTGACGATGAGAAGGAATAAATTAGGTCTGAGCTCTCGTCGGTGACAGAGAGCAAATACAAAAGACGGCGGCGTGCTTTTCTTTACATCAAGCCGGGAGATGGGCCTGTGCGTGCCGCAGCCATCAAAATTTTTAATGATTGCTCGGTTGTCACTTCACTGCGGCGTGCAGCTCGGGTGAGCTCACCGTGTCCTCACTGTACTGAAGGAATATGAGCGAGGGTTTAAAAAAAAAGAAGAAGAATAAGGAAAAAAAAAAGGAAAAGGAATCGCTCCTTTCATAGAAAGGCCATTTACATGTCGCTCACCGTGGTGAACGTCCGTCTCTGCGCGTTGTCAGGGCTGAGTGGATCGAGGAGCTCGAGCCAATTAAAATACCTCATGCCGGTGAACGGAGAAATGGAGCTGAAGCTGTCACCATGGCAAAATAAAATCAGCCCGGTTTGTTGAAGGTTAATAACACTAATTAAACACCAACCCTACGCCTGAGATTTGAGTGGCAGCGCGAGCAGGACAAGGTTTGTTGCCACCGAAGATTTGTTTCTGTTTGCCATTTTTACAGTTTAGCTAAATTTGTCTCCACATTAAGGGGCGCAGAAACGGCACGCGTGACGCATTTTCTCTGGGGAAGAAGCTAGTCGTTAAAGGCACACATTTAAGCATCCTCTGTGCGAGTACGTAATTAGTATTGGAAGAGTAAGTTTTTAAATTAATGAAACAGACCAGCCGGGCTCCCGAAAAGCAAACCTGCGAAACGCGTTCTTTGTTATTTCTTCATGAAACTTCAAAATGTGACTGAGGTGAACGATTTTGGGCACTAATTAGCAGTTTAAGACAGCAGCCAATGGACACTACAGGTGAAGATGTGCGATGCTGCTGTCCTCTCTCTATTATGAGTAAAAACAAACAATTCTACTCAAATGTGGGAATCAAGAGTAACACAACTAATTGCAATCTGAAGATATGACTATTCATTAATAAAATGAACATGCTGTTTAAAACTTTTTTATTCTCTAATGTTCCAGACCCCATAGTAAAACAATAATATAAACTGCACACAGTGCTAAGATGTTAAAAAGATGCATGTTGCCAGCATGGCAAAAAAAAATTACCCACATTCTTCAATCCAACTGAATTAGGTGGGGTCTTAGGATTCTAGCATACAGCATCAGTTTAATCTTGAGAGTGGGGCAAGACTAGAGAAGTGAAATATCAAAGAAATAACTGTGTTAGAAGAGTTAGACGACTGACAGTAATATTTAGTGATGTAAATATGTACATTTTTCTTAAATTTCAAAGATTTTTTTTCTAATAATTTTTTAGGGGTTTTTCACCTTTAATTGGAAAGGACAGTGGAAGTTACTGACAGGAAAGTATTGGGAGCAAACAGAGGGGAAGGGTTGGCAAAGGACCTCGAACTTGGGTCGCCGTCAACACCATGGTGCTTTATGTTGGCGCACTTAACCACTAGGCTATTGGTGCAAACATTGAATTTCAATGATTTGAACTGAAAATGTGGTATTATTTTAACTATTTGTAT